TTCTTTTCCCATTACAAAACATACAGCATTGAATTTCTCCTACCAGCAACTTGCTTCAACGTGAAAAAGTCTCTCTTCTCCAAGTATTTTGAATGTTGGGATAATTATCTGTGATGTCAATTTTTGGATTTAAATAGAAACCAATACATGGACTGTTTCAATAACAAACAGCACTTGTGCAAACAGAATTTCCACTGACAAGTAATTTTGATTCCCAGGGAAGAACACAAAAGCATTTTTAGTAAAGGCAATGCTTAACTGATTCCCAGCTCTCCGTGGACCAGATTTGACAACTACGAATAAACCTTTTCATTGAATAGTCCAATACAAATGTGTGGGTTTTCCTGTTCAACTGGACACTCAGAAAGATCAGACTCATTAAATCACATAATTTTAAAAAAGAAAAGACATTTAAAAATGAAAAAGGCATGGTCAAAAAGTTATCCTGGAAAAAATACATTGAAATAAATCTTTTAAATTCAACATCTCATCTCCCAAACAAACTTATATCTCTTTGTGGAAGATTCCTTATTTAATCCCCAGAGTGACACCTGCTGGATTTCATTACGAGGAAAAAAGGGCAGATATCCCATATAAGAACATTTCGGGATAATCTGGACAAGACCATGTCCTTTGAGTAAAGATAATTAAAGAAAAGAATGCAGTCACGTTTTTTTTTTTCCTCTGTTTACAGCATTAAATTAATACATAAATACATGCAGGAAAGTAACGTGATGTCTCAAGTTCTCATTTATGCCTGATACATACATTTTCTATAATTTCTAGCAAGGAAGGACTATGGAGTACAACAACACTGGGAAACAGACTATATTCATTTCTGTTAATATTGACAAGAAAAGAAAATAAAGCCTAAAATGCACGAGTTCGGAGAGAACAACTGTGCACAGTCTGTCTTCTGCTTACCTTAATAAATGTTTACCACCACTGCCACTACTTAAATGGCTGTACAATTTCCAGGCTCAGGATTACAAAACAATATACTTTTAAAGGAAAATCCAGTTTTTGGAACTAAAAGGATACCTTTTACCATCAGCCTAAATGCAGCTGATGGAATACTGTACATGGAGTAGCTGCTTTGGAAAAAAAATAAAATCAAATTCACGAAGTTTAGTTCCTTGTCCTTGGTATAATAAGGGAAGTGAGACTGGTATGGGCTTTATTAAACAAAGCACTAATTTTGTTTGGGATATTTTCTTAAGTAAGGGCTCCAGGCACAAATCCAGAAATACAACGTTGTTTTTGCTTTCCTAAAATTTGGTTAGTGTCTTAATTGTCAGCCACAGCTCAACAGTGGCCAAAACTGCCAGAAACTCTTGGGTGATATCTGTGTTATATTTAAAGGTAACAGCTTCAGGGAGACATACAAATTTACCCTAGTTAGGAATCTGTTTTCTTTTTCCTGAAGTAAGTGCTTCTCTCATGGAAAGTTTTGTTTTGTTTTAATGCATTACATTCAGTTAAATGGATTTCAAATGCATCTTTCCAAGGAAAAGCAACTCTAAATAAATCATTCCTGTTCTTTTGGACAGCACATACTGCAGCAGCGATTGAAAGTGTTTGCACTGAACTAAGGCAGAAAAAGAATGACTGCTGGGAAAATGTAAACATTATAAACAAGCTTGGGAGACAAAGGCAGACATGCAGGAGAGATGGTTGTAAAAATAAAAATAACTGAAAATTCTAAAATGTAGCCTTTCAGTTTTTTGTCTTGATTCTAAAATAGGACTAAAAAAATGCTGCTAAAAGAAATTTATTTTCCTAACAGTATTTTATTAAGCTATTGTATTATACTATACTGGCTGTGGACTTTTCCATGAAAATAATAGGTACTTATCATGAAGATAAGTAATAGGCTCATTTCTGCTGCCCTTTGTGCAATGTATTATATTGGCTATAAGAATAAAAAACAGAAGACATTCAATACAGTAGTACTGCTAACGTAAGACATAACAGGATAAAAAGGAGGGGGGCTTTGATCACGCATGGAAAGCTTCCTCCTTCTTCTTTAAAATATTAATACAACATTCAGATGCAGCCAATTTAAAGCAATACTACCTATTCACAGTTTTCTAAACGAAGGACAAGGTTTGAGGCTCATTTACTTGGTAGATCTCCTTCAAATCATGTACATTCCCTCTTTAGTTGATACACTACGAATCAGCATGAGATACTCCGTGCACATGCATAAATCAATAATACAAAGATATAGTTTAACTCCAGCACTCTAACAACTTGCTACAACAGTTACATGAACTGTTTTGTGAAACAAGCAACCCTTTTCAGAGAGGGCAAAGCTAAATGCAGGCAGCCCCTGCACACAGCAACACCCGCCTGTGCAACAGAGGTGACCACAACGCTGCGGTGCTGCCAGCACTGCGTATGTGCTCTGTAGGAACGACTGCTGATCAGAAACACAGAAGGAATTTTGCTAGCAGATCACGAGCACTGTAAATACATTGGGAACACAGGAGAGCTACTTCTTAAAGAGAAATTCTACTTTAAAATAAATAAAGAAAGAAAGAAAAATCTGTGTGTTTGGCTTCTCATTGGAGAGATTCCTTCAATTTTCTTCAGAATAGCTGATGTTGTGTCCAGCACTTACTATAGAAGTGATTAAATAGATACTTTTAAACTATCATTGTGTACACTTTGTTATTAAAAACACATTGATAACAACAGTTCCCTCCAAATGACTGAGCCGGTTTGAATACTTCATCAGTATGATTTCATAGCCTTGTGGGCCCGGTCCTACCCATCTCTTCCACATGCTACAAGTGCTTTTGGAAGCAGCTAATTTACTGAAATTCACAGAAAATTGGAACTAAGTTAGTAATTATAGTACCAGCAAAGGAAATATGTCTGTACTTTTCTTCACTCGGTTCTGTTCTTAATTGTATCCTTCCCTAAACCCGGATTGTAGAACTCAGCCCACAGAACAGTGCTGCTGTCCCTGAGTGGGCTCCGTTTTTTAGCCAGGTAAGCCACTATTCACCAAGAACAAGACATATGGATCTGTTTAACACAGAACATAAAATAAAATAAAATTAAAATTATTAAAAGAACAACTGCCAGTAGATCACAGTATGCCAGTTACAGGATGGGTAATGACTGTAACCACAATAAATAACTCCTTCAACATAAAAATACCCACACTGAGGAATATCCTGCCCTTTGACAGTCAGTGGAAGAATTCCCACTGGCTCCCAGCAAATTAGGACTACAACAGTTGCATTGTATTGGGACAAGCATATTCAAAGGGTAACATTACATTTCTTAATGTAGAGCAAGAACCCAGATGATCAGGAATTCAGAGTATGGCAACATTTGAACAGGACAGACATAATGCCCTTCTCCACCGTGCCACCACACTGTTCAGGCAGTCAGTTTTGTACAAAACAGCATGGACATTTTTCTGAAATGCCATCTTGCTTGATTCAGTACTGTCAAGCGCCTTTTGAGCTGATGGTTTTTAAAGCTGGATAAAGACTTTGGAATTGCTCCTATATGCAGTCAAGTCAATGACAGTTCAAGCAGATTGCAATAGCAAATACTGTGAAAATATACATCTTTTATTTATAACTGAGCATTTCAGTGTGTAGCATGTGTATTTTGTAACAAAACTCAGATTCAAATATTGCCTCATTCATATTTTTCCAGAACCAGCATGCCTCCTCTCAACACATCAAAAGGACCTCCGAACACAACATTCAGGCTTTTAGCACATCATGAACCTGAACAGTTTTAAAAGGTTATATGCATTATTGTTGCAAATGAATGACACGATCCTCAGGATGCACAATATTACTGCAAAGACTCAGCACTGACACATTCGTAAGAGCAAGATCCAGCCCCAAACTATTTGGCAGAAGTTTATTAAGGTAGAGAGCAATAAAACCACAGCTAGTTTGTTGGGGTGTTTTTACTGTTTCAACGTAAAGCACATATGGATGACTAAATGAACCACTGCAGATCAAATCCAACTGTGATACCAAAGCTATGTTGGTTCTTAACTGTCCTTCAGTAATAAAATATCTTCTCCTGAATATTCTACAGATCCATTACTCTCCCCCAACAGGCAGATGATCAGATGTAGTGAAGGCAATCATCATAACCACACAACTGTATTTTTCCAAACAGAATAAATACGGCATCTGCTTTCAGAAGATGAAGAAGTGGCAACACTCTCAACTGTACAGTGGAAGGCACAGAATCACGCATTTCTACTGACCAATAGCTCCTCAAGGCAATTCAATAGTAGACAACTACCCTTCAGCAAATCAGTTCAGTGAGTGTGGGAAAAACCCCAGCACATGTATAAGCACTAAGCTCAAGCTAACTTTTTCTCAAGCAAATAGATGCTTCATCTTTTCTGTCATATAATAACAATGCAAAATCTAACTGAAATAATTCGGATACAATCTCAATGCAAAATCTAACTGAAATAATTCGGATACAATCTCTTTTTGAAATAATAACACCAGTAAGGCTAAAAGAGCATTCAGTAAGAGAATTTGCACCACTTTATCACCTAATTTGTCTCCTCTTGAAAGAGCTTACGTTGTATTGGATTAGTCTCATGGACCGTTTTCAAATCAGGATGCCTCTAATTCTCTCCAGATGCAAAGTCAGAAATATGGTTAACTGATATTAGGGTTTTAGAAGGAAATCTTTAAGTGATTATTAGGATTTTTTTTCCCGATCTTTCTACTTAGTTATCATTGGCTACTTCCTCAAATATATATATTAAAACAACACCAGCTATAAAATCAGCTCAGGGTTTCGGTAACTAAAAATAAACGAAGCTTTTTCCTAAGACCCCTTTCTCTCTGCTGATCGCATAGCACATGCTGAGGTTCACGTAAATGCATGCTAACACACCTAATTCTTCCCTCGAACATACGTAAGACCAAACGGCGTTCAGACGGCACAAACACATCGTTTTTAGGTGAAACAACGAAACTGTTTAAATGTGTACTCACCACGCGGAGTTGATCCGAGCCCAGTCGATTGGATCTCCCTTCCCAGCGAGAGAGCGGAGAGCTGCTCCTCCGCTTCCCCGGCCGGCCGGCTCGGAGCCGCGCAGGCGCCCGCAGGGCACGGTGCAGTCCGAGAGCCCGGCAGAGGAGCGCGGCTCTGGGCAGCGCCGGGAGAGGTTCGGCCGCTAAGTGAGGAGCGGCGGCAGCAGCGAGCCATCAGAGCTTCCTGTTACATCACCGAGACCCCGCCCGCAGCCCGCGTTAAATTACTCTTCGCGCTCATGTGGCGTGTCCCCGGGAAGCGAGGCTCTTCTAGGGTTTCGAGGAGCTGCCCCGTTCTGCCTGCCAGCGTTGCTCCTGCACCATTCCCGAGGTGTGCTGCGGCTCGTCCGCCAGCCAAAGCTTCGTGCTCCTAAACGAGTTAGAAAAGACTCGTTCATCTTACAGAAAAGAGCACACTAGAGGACTTGTCTCACCAATCTTCCTCCTCATACTAGACCTAGAGAAATGAGTCATTAAATGAACGCTTCTTCAGAGCCAAAGAATTGACAAGCTGCGGTCCTCCCAAATCTCAGTGACCCAACTCACCTCTGCTGACACTGCAGGACTGTATCGTGCCCCAGAGTCAGTACAGGAAAATTGTATAGAGAAATACTTTTGTTCATCAAATAAAAAACTGTGCTACCGTGCAGAGTCACATTTAAATTATGCACTTGCTTAAACTGGGGAAGTACCACTTCAATATAGTAATTTTGCTTCGGTATAACGTTAAGTAAATGAGTGTTTGAAATACCCAGGATATGAAAAAAGCAGCTCATTACTATTGCAGTACCGAACCCCAGCTATATTTAAATACCACTGATTTCAAAGCATCAAGTACAAGATGCCCAGTTTGAAAACTGCTACAGCTCAAGACAAAGCAGAACAGCTGACAATCCTTAAACTGCAAAGAAGCTTAGATCAGGACCTAAAAATGTTTCCTTGAGAGCTTTTATTGCTTCCTCTTTGAACAACTGATACAAGTGCTACATATGCAATCTGTGTTCTCCAAATCAATAGAAGCCATGTACACACAGCAATGCTACACTGAACAAGTGGGGAGATCATGCAGCATTGATCTCAAAACACCTACAACACCAGTAACCTGCATGGGACACATTCCAGAAAGCCATGGTTTTCTAAGTGGTCATCAAAATCACAATGATTTAATTTGCTCATGAAACAAGTTGAAGTATTTCTACTTGCTTCTTAGTACCCACTGTTAATCTGCTATTTTACCACCAGAAGCATTTGTGGAACATACAAAATGGAGAAGGGAACACATCTGGCCACTGAAAACCCTTTTTCCAAAAATGAAAACAGCCAGAAACCCAATCCAAAGCAAAAACAAAAACCAAGCCAGGATCACAAAAGTTTGAAAGAGAGCAAAGGGAAAAAGAGAACAGTTTAAACTCGGTCACTGGACAGTACAAACTCTGAAATTGCACTCTGGGGCTACTAAAACAGCAGGATATGAATTTAATGCTCATTTGGCACATGCAAATGCTGGTGCTCCTAACATCTTCCATCAATGGGAGAATGAGATTTATAATCAGTAAGGAATGAAGAAGTGGCATTCTAAACTTCTAAACAATGTAAACAGAAATAAGACAGGGATTAGATCTGACTGTGAGTAGTGATGGAAATTAAATTGTCTGAAATAAGCAAGGTCACCTCAGGTGGTGGAATTTCACTAGAAGTGAGCCTGGCTGCATTATTTTAGAGCAATTAGGTCTGGGTAAGAGGCTGTAATATGGTACATTACACACTGTAACCTAGAAAATAATCCATATATTCCAGCTAAGTACGTATGTTTGAGACAGGCTCAACATCTCAATTAATTGCAGAGATTTATTGCATAGACCACGTTTGATATGGCATGTCAAATTCAGCAGAGTTGCGTGGGCTTTTCTTGTTTCTTAAGTTCTAATTTCTTATACTCATTTAGCTGTCACTGAAACTTTTTTACTCCTACTCTACAGGTATTTGAGACGTCTTAGCTGGTGTAATTTGCACTTCAAAGACGCAGCAGGCCCCCACACTACTTCAGCTACCCCTTTTCTCTGGCTGAAAGGCATGTGAATTACACCGTATAGCACTCCCTGCTATCAGCAATATCAGTGGGTGGGAACACTTCAAAAGAGGCCTAAGGAACAGCAGACTGTGCTTCAACCAAAACTTAAAACTCTGGGATGAAACATTATTTCCACCTCTTATCACCAGTTTTGATCTGATGGGAGAAGCTGAAGGATAAATAGTTTTCCTAATGAGGGCCTATGAAACTTGCGCTGTGGTTGTTACAAACGCCTCTCCCAGGCTCTAAAGGAGCAGAGCAGAGCACAACAGTGCCAGGCCAGGACCCCGCCGATGCAGGGGCCGCTGAGCCGCACCTGCCAGCCCGCTCCGGCTGCGGCGGCCCCGGGGCGGTGCGGCGCTGCCACCTAGCGCCCGGCTGAGCCCCTGCTCCTCTCTCCCTACATCGGGCCCGAAGGACCTCGCCGGCTCGGGAAACCGGCAATAAAGATGTTCTCCGTGGGGACGGGACGTTGTCTGCCCATCTCCAGCACGGTCCCGTAAATGGCAAAAGAGCTCTGTGAGAAAAAAGCCTCAGTAATCGAATGGGAATCGCCACGGGTTCAAAAGGAAGTTTCCCCCATTTGATAATACGTTGCCTGTGAACCAGTTCATATTCAAATACTGAAAACCTACAAATGTATATCCAAGTATGATTCTTTTTCAGAAGATACCATCAAATGTCATCTTTATGTCTACATTAAAATGTTTCAAAAATGGATTCTAGGAGCAAGAAAACATCATTAAACTCTAAATAAGTTTATCAGTTTTGAAGAGGAAATGGATAGGAGATGCAGATAGAAAACTTCTATTGTGTGGGGAAAAAAAAAGATACAAGGGATAGAAAGCAAAAGTAAAAAGGAGAAAAAAGAAGGGCATGCCTATTACTTCTTATTATTACTTCTTATAGTAAGAATAGGGGCTAAAAGATGTGAAATTATTTCTCAAAGACATTTTGTTTCATCACCTACATGAACTGAGGACACATACCAAGTTACACATGGAAAACCATCCAGCCTCCAACTTCACTTCAGCTTCAGCTTGTTGTCTCCCAACACAGAATGTGGGAGAAGTTTCCCAGCAATGTATATGCTTGTGACGAAGCAATGAGAGCAGAAACTGGAATGAAATTTCTAGATTAACAGACTCTAGTTAATTAAAAATGTACATAGTAGCTTGTGACTTGTTAGCCTTACATTCTATTCTTAGCATAGCTAATTAATGTTGAGACACCATAACTCAATAGTCTTTTTCTGTCCCAGCAATGACAGAAGGGATCCCTCAAATGATCGTTTGGTCAGTTACTGTTACCACAGAATAAATGCATGTGTGGTTTCTGTACTGTATTATAACTGATGAGTAAGGGGGCACAGGGGAGTACCTGTTAGTCCTGCCTTAACTACTGCAATTCTGGAGGAAGAGAAGACAGCACAAAGCAGCTGAGCACACTTGGCACGGAGAATCTGTTAGTTTGCAGAACTCAGCAAGCAGGAGACTTAGAATAGGAAGCAGCCACAGAGCCAGGTTTCTACTTGGACAGAAAGGATGATTTTTCCAAGACTTCGGTGTTAGATTTGGTAGTTGTGGAATCCAGGCAGCCAGGCGCAAGTTGCTGACCAAAACAGAGCCTGAGGAAAGAGATACTACCATGAAATGACACAAGATCATAACACAATATGTTTACAAACGCATCTGTTCTTTTTTACACACTTATCATAGAACAACAGAATTTTTTGAAGTGGAAGACACCTTAAGGATCATCCAGTTTCAACCCCTTGGCACGAGCAGGCACATTTTCTACTAGATCAAGCTGGCCTTGAGCACTTTCTGGGATTCAGCATATCTTCTATTTCATTGAGTACTGACTTATGGAAGATCAAATCACACTTGATAAATCCTAGATCAAGAGTCATTACAAGATTTGGGCACCAGAAATGAGAATTTCTGTATAAAAATCTGTGGCTTTTACTTAGCCCCTTAAATTCAGAATGCAAAACTACTTTCATTTTCAGCAGTCAAGCTTATCCTCTTTGGGGAGTTAGTTCAAAATTCGTGGGGTACATGAAAACACATTTTCTAAAATCACATGCATTTCATAGAGCTCAAGCAAAAGCAGGTTGCTCCAGCAGAACATTTATATTCTATCACTGTCTTCCTTGCTCCTTACTGTAGTGTCTGAGACTATCACATCTATTTCAGGAATTTATTTTCATCTCTCAAAAACGGTGGGTTAAGTATCCTCAGTAATCTTCAGCCCCAAGAGAAAATGTGATACATAACAGAAGATTTTCAGTATCAGGGAAGGCTGCAGGGCACTTCCAGAACCTTTTGAGGAAACCAACCAATTTTGCTTTCCTTTAAAAAAAAGTCTTGCTAGATTTACCCAAGATCAGAGGGGTGTATTAGAAAAAGGCAGGAACTGAACTACTGTCTCATGTCAGTCTTAAAATAAACAAGCAAAGCGTACAATAACAAGGAAAACAAAAGAACTACCAACCAACAAAAACAGAAACAAAAGAACCCCCAAACCAACAAAGCCTCCTGGAAAGCATACGTACCATTACATCTGAAGAAAATGTATGGATTTCCTCATCCATGAACAGGAATTGTTCTGGTTTTTGTTCATTTTCTTTTTTTTTTTTTTTTTTAGTAAGAACATGTATTTCTACAGATTATTAACTTGCTAGCCACCCGTCTACTTCAGTAACAAGGATAAAAATCGATGAACCTAGCAAATATATTTAAAATTTTTATAAATATCTGTCACATCGTTTCATACATTCACAACTGTAATACTCTCTTAACGGTTTCAATGAGTTCATTTCATTTCAATTCACACTCATTGCACAACAGTGTAATTCTATGCACTTCAATAGAGTTACATCTGTCTTGCATAACCTAAAATAAATCTCTTTAAAACAGAGTGTTTATTTCCTCTTTTAAGCAATAGATCTGTTTCAATCTAGGATTGAAATAATGGTGTATGACAAGTGATTACTCTTTGACAAGATTTTTTTAAAGATCAAAATAGATGTCAGAAAAGAATGGGGAAAAGAAGTAAATTGGAACCTTTCCTACTTTCTAATCATGAGTTCTACACCCACATAGCCCATTATGTCCTGTTTCAGCTTTAGTAATTATATTGTCAAACTGCATTTTAAGAGCTCTTTTCGAAAGTACAAGGTAACGTTTATTAACACAAATGAGGCATACATAATAAAAACATAAACAGCTTAATAAATGCAATCAAAATAATTAGTACACTAAATATATTTAAATGGTGTATTCTAAAGGCTTTCATTCACAGGTGAATAGCAGTTTACTTCCCATTTTCATACAAATTAAAGCTGTGTTCTTCCATGGATGATTTCCTCTCCCATAGTCTTTAGCGACTGTTTCTTTTTTTTCTTGATTCTTATTAATCTTCTTCCATCTTTTTTTTTTAAGGAATCCTGAAGGTAAAATGACAAAGTTAAGACTGGATGACTAACATTCACGATAATCCAAAATGAGACCAGTCTTGTTTTCAAGAAACATCCTTGAGAAAAGAAAAAGGAACATTCGTTCTTACCCAAAGTCTTCATATGCCCGACCAATGTTAAGCAGCCGGTTCTGTACACAGTATTTTAGTGTCCATCCTTCTCTCTCTAGCTCTCTCTTCTGATTACCAGTTGCACTTTGCCAGTACTTTCAGCTATTACATTCTATCAGGTCAGTACTTACTACTAAAAATTGCAAGACTATTTCAGCCTACAGCATGCATAATACTTGCCTTTTGTGACAGTCTGTGGCAATATCAGTTCCCATACCTTTCCTGCAAATTCTTAAACATGACTTCCTGGAGGTGAAATTATTTTCATTCCCACCACAACCACTGTAGGTAAATGGACGACATCTTCTAGTTGAGTAGTTGAAGAAAAACCTGGTCTCTTTAGCTCTACAAAGTCCTCTATCCATAGGAGTCATGCACAAAGAAGGGACAGGAGGTGGTTCTAGAAATACCAGAAAAAACAAGGTTATACACCACTGTCATGTTTTTGTTATGCTGATATTTTACATGAGAACTGAAGCTTTCAGAACCTTGAAACATATGAAATTTACTGGCAAATTTAATTCTGTCCTTCTGAAAATCCAGGATAGTGGAGCATCAGCGTTTGTTATTTTATGACCATGAAAAATAACAGCAAATATTATTCTCTCTTTCACTTAAAAAAGCAAACAAAATCTTACCTGAAAGCTAGGTTTGGTTAATATGCATTTAGATAAAATCAACATTTCTGTGGTAGGAGATAATATTCAAATTCAATTGGAGGGATATGCTTGTAAAATATGAAAGAACTGAAATCAGGACAGCTTTAAAAAAAATGGTAAATACTGATGATAATCGAGGATTGAACTTTCCAAATTACTGACATTTCAGATATTCTGAAATCATACAGAAGGGCTGCTCTGAACGTAATGCGTCCTATTTTATTCTGTTGGCCCACTATGTCAGAGATGAATGTTAGTGGTGTGGCACCAGAGGATGAAGCTTCCAACTAATATTTTGTCACATTTTGTTGTCATGCAACAGATGGCAGCAGAGAGACAGTCTGACAAAATGGCTTCTGACATGGAAGTGTGTATGACATAAGGTGTGACACCGAATTTCTCCCTGCGGAAAAAATGGTACAGATTGACATTCATTGATACTTGTGAATGATTCTGGAGCCCCATACAGTGGATGCAAGCACAGTGAGACATTGTGTGGTGCTTTTTAGTGGTGGCAATAGCAAGTCATCTTCACTGGTGGAGATTTTTAAAAGCACTGCATGCAGGCTCTTGTTCATTGCTGATGAAAATGCACATAGCCAGTGGTGGTGATTACGCTGAAAAATAGTTTTATAGCTGAGAATTTGCTCTACCAACTAGCACTATTGTGCTCTTTGTAGCAATTGTGGTTTCCAAGGAAATAAAGGAGGCATTACTTTTGGAATGATGTACATGGATAGCATTTTTTACTTAAGATTCAATACCTTATTGTTTGTTTGTTGTTGTTGTTTTGTATGACCATAGAAAGCTTGACCTAAGTAATAAAATTTGTTCTACTGGAGAACACCAAGGAGTTATCAAGAAAATGCTTCTAACTTGCAGAAAAGCCAACAATTGAATGCAAAGATTTAACTGCTCAAAGCAACTGCAGTGCGGGTGATTTTAGTGCTGCTGTTAAGTTTTTACCATTCACAGAAGGCTGATGTTTTGTTTCTTCAGTGTTGCTGCAAGTGAAATTGTGAGAACTTAAATACCCTGACTTAACTGAAGTACCTGTGCATGGGGCAAATTCAAGCAGTTCACCTATTCCAGAATTCCCAAGTCTGGAGAAACTGTTATCTACCATCATGGAGAGACTCATAAACAAAAGCACAACTGACGTATGGTTGCTGTACAGAACACAAAAAGACTAACAGGAACCATTGTATCAATAATTACGAGGGATCTGAAGGAGTACCATTTTCCTTAAAGAAGCTTCAGAGTTGAGATAGTTGAAGTCTGATTGCATAAAAGGACAAGTGAAGCTAACTAAATCGTGTTCTTGAAGTTAGAAAGCCACGTAGCCAGCAAAAGTTCTTCAGAGGAAAGACCAAGTGAAAATTTTAGGAAATAACTTGGGTTACAACAGAGCATGAGGCATCCTGCTTTTCAGATAAGTGGGAAGCAGATGAGTTACTGAAAGCAAGAAGTTATGAATTAACTTGAGCAATTCAAGAGGCTGAAAAGGAAAAAAAACAAAAAACACAGAGAAGAATACGCTACACTTTATATTTGTCTCGTACATATCTTATGAAAAAGGCTTGTTTGCTAAGTATAACAGCTGAACTGGCGTGGTGAAAAAAAACATGAAAAAATTGCAAAAAAAAAGAAATAAAAAGGTAACTTACAGAAGGCAGGCAAATTAAATTATTAATATATTCAAAGCCACATTAGCAATAGTGTACTATTCCAGAACAACGTCGCAAACACAAAAACTGAATCATGAAATGGTATTTCAAGACAGATAAAGCTAGTTTCAAGTTATGAAATCAGCACTAATTAATTTCCCTGTATTACCTGTGACATTATTATAGCAGAATGTGAAGTTTATTTTTGATCCAGAATACATGCCTAGAATGGATATCAAATCTACTGTCCTATTTATAATGCAGATGGAAGATAAACTGACAACTGCTGGTTTTGGTATTGGCTCTCTGGGAACTCCTGTGCCTAGAAGTAATGACGCTGTGGCTGGAAAGAAACTAATATTCAAAAGAAATTCTTTGAAACATCAAAAAAAAAATCAACCCAACAGAACAAAACGTGCTTACCTATTTTATAGCAATACAAAGGCTTTCCAGCGATGAAGGGGGTTAAATTGTTTTGTTAATTGTAATAGAATTTAAATATACACTTGTAATATTAACTCCTTTTCTGGTGCATGGATTTTCTAGAGAGATTCCCAAGTCCCCTCGTGCAGGTGTTGTCACCAACTGAAGTTTTGGAGCTTTGGTAACCGGTAAGTAAGGACTGTTTATAGTATGTATAAAGCAACTGGCAGAGTGGCATCCAAATACTTTTCAGACTTCCTGTTTCTAAAGATTACGTATTGTATTTTGTTTCTAAATTTGTATTGTTCCTAAAAATGACATTATTGTCTAGATCACCAGAAAAATGCCCAAGACGCTATAACATTATTTCTGCTCATCTGCAAAATAACTACATATTCTTCACACTGACAGAAGCAATCAACTCATGAAGAAAACCTCTTAATTTTGTCATACAGCAAAATTCTGAAAATTGTTGGAATGGTTTTTTTTAACTCCAAGCTTTACTATGAGGAAAAAAAAAAGATCAAATCCTACAAACGACAAAATTGCAGACTAAGGGATATACATTAAAAACAGTAAAAACAAACAAAAACTGCCAACACATATTCCACTACCAGAATTATTTTCCCCTAATGTAATCATTAAATTTGTGTAAGTTAATTATAGATGCCAACTTCATTGCGAGATTAGTCCAGATAGAAGTGTTTTGTTTTGTTTTGTTCTTAAATGTACTTTGCTCTCAATTTGGATTGTGCTTTACCGATACCATTTTACACCGCCTTTAGCATTATTCATTACATTTCACATAACAACACATCAACATCTTTTGGATCAGACAAAACCACAATTTAACAAATGTCAGGAAACGCTTTCTAACTTCATTACGTATGGAGTCACGTGGCTGATCCTATGGCATTTGATTCATTTTGTATAAAATCAAACCAATATTTGCACTGACATCAACAAGGCCATAAGACTGTCTTCATGCTTGTGCTCATCCTGTTCCATTTATCCAAAATATCTCATTTAAATAGGTTTTAAATATCCAGTACCAAGCTCATAACCTCAGATTAGCTATGCATATTATTTGCAAAAAATATGTGATAAAAGTCAGGTCATGAACGGGCATGGCAAAAAATAATTTAGAATTCATATAGGGAAATGACATCCAATAGCTTCCTACACGTTGCTACCCAGAAATGTTTTAAAGCTCACAGTTTAAAATACAATTCTTAAAATAATGCCTTTTCTTGAATCCCAGACAGCCTCCCTCAGATGTAAACAAGAGATACTTAGGAATTTATGAAACATTTACATTTAGATATAGATTCATATTTATAAAAAAAATCTCAAATTGAATTTGCAACAAAAAGCGCTTTATCTCAGGCTTAGCTGGGGTTGAAATGTGTGACAATGAACTGTTAATTAATTATAATATGAAAGACATTTGAAATGATCTTCATGAGCTAGATGAAAATAAGACTTACTCTATGCTCTTTCACTCAACACAGTACTGTGGCATACATGAAACTTCAGACTTCAGATTCTCATTCCAGTTACAGCAGAGGGATAAAAAACACTCTTCAAGTACAGAAACTGCTACAAACAATAATGAGTAATCTCCACTTAACAGTATTCTCTAGGCATAAATTGGTGCAGATTCATTAAAGCAAACAGAGCTGTGTCAATTTCTATCAGCAAAAGATATGGTCCTGACTTTAAAAAATAATAACAGGAGCTGCTTCTTTTTGCCATTCCATACTTACTGAGTGGAAAGCTGACATTTGATCTTACATCCCGCTTAGATTTCACAAGCTGAACATAATATACACCCTTAATTTCCATAGGTCACTTCACTTGATCTAGAAATAAGAGTCTTGATTCTTGTCTTCACTTTCAAATCCCTAGAATCTGTTTTAGATGATATCAGAAATATATTGACTCTCTGCAAGAAAGCCAATTGCTGGGAGAGAGCACTAGTCTTATGTTTACATGCCAAAACACCAGTTTCTTTTGGCCTAGGAAGAACTTAATCTTCTGAAGATGAAGAATTTTGCTGGAAATATATTAAATGATATTATGATATCAAATTAATCTAAATCTATTATCTAAAAAGTAATACATATTTTTTCTTGAAATCAACAGAAAAATCATTTCAGTTGTATGGTGAGGTGTTCTCAAATTGACAAGTCCTTGGAATTCTTTTTTTAATGGCGGTCAAGTATTTCAAAAAAAAGAAAACACATAGCCAGACCAACAGACACACAAAACATGTTTTGGTAGCCGATCAGATACTTCATCTGTACTTGAGAAGACAAGAATCAGACACTCCATCTCAAGGAGCCCATCTGAACCTTTTATGCGTACAACTATATTCTCATCCCTCACAGAGGGCTACGGAAAGTGCATATTTATGTGAAACAGCTCTACTTTGCAGCTTCAGATGCTGCCCAGTGCAAGACAAAGATTATGAAGTAGAGAAGAAAGGTCTTCATATTTTCCATTGAATTTCATCAATCCTTCTAATTTCATGTTTCCCAGCTACACTGACTCCATCTACCCTTGTACTGCAGCCTTTCTTGCACTAACCTTCCAGTCTCTTACCCTCCCCAAATTTGCTTTACCTTGAAATTCACCATTGCTGATATAACCAAGAACATTTTCATTTTTTCCCTCCAGTTTTCTCAGAGAAAACACAGTGAATAATGCCTCTTTGCTTTTATAGGTTAGTTGCTTTGTGGATCTGGAGGTTCATATTATGAGTAAAAATCTGAGAGCAGGTACAATCTTGTATCAGTAGCTTTATTCCCAGGTCTTAAATTATGCAAAAATTTTTCAATAAAATAAGCTGCCAAGAGGCTTATTGTTTTATATTCAGTCATTTTAATATCAGAGTGCATTGATGTTCTGTATGTGATAAAAAATTCAGCTATTTCAGAAACTTACCTCAAACCAACTGTACATTATCACAGTACAAGCAAAAAAAAAAAAAAATAGAATATAACACACATTCAAACTTTGTTAGACATGATTCTATCAAAGAGCACAGAAATGTTATTCCACATGCTCATTATCTTACAGAATGCATAATACACAAAAGCACTGATCAATCTGTAAACCATCATTCAACCCCCAAAAGTACAAGTAAGAGTAAATGCAATAAAAGAACAAACAGAAATACTTGGTAAGAATGCTCAGTCTTTTCCCAATTGTTTCTTGTTTCCTCTTGCATAACTGTGGATCATAAAAATGATATGCCTCAAATTCAATCCAGCTGTACAGTGTGAGCAAATACCAGCAATCTATAGTGGAAATTATACTATATAGTAGTGCAACAACACCTTGAAGTAGACATGAAATTCATTCACACTCACCTTGATTATAATCAAACAAAGAGCTGAGTTTAATATAGCCTTAACAACGGTAAAAATGTGTTATGATAAATACATTTTGTATATCCCAAATTGCAAGAATGATTCTTTCTTAATTTGTAAAATGAGCTTTAAATCACCTGCCAGTTAGAACCCCACAGAAATATTCATTTTGACTAAAAGATTTCTGCATCACTGCTTTTGCTTTTGATCTTTTTAATGCTTTGTGTCTATGACACTTCCAGGAAGCACCACACTTTCAGAACAGGACAAGGTGTGATCAGTATTTCACTGTCTGGTATCTATAGAAGATTTATAAGCAGAAATACATTTCTTCACTTTGACTTGCCCTGCTGACCAAAACAATTGACACAGATCAAAACCAATTCTTTAGTCTCAGATACACTGGAAAAAAAGTGGAAATGGAAAAGAAATCAAGAGCACAGATAAAACTGAGAGCTAAGAACTGCAAAAGGAAATTCTTACCAAAAGAACTGGGAAACCGCTTGCGCTCTTCCTCTTGGTAACTACTGTTCACAATATGGGACTCTTCCTCATTTGGTGTAGTTGGCAACAAATTTACTAAAAGGAAAAGAAAAAAAAAAGGCAGGAGGGGGATGAAACAGTAAGTGATAGGCTATCTAGACACAACAAAGTACTGAAAATAAACTGTAATTAGTACCCATCTGAATTGTTCCATGCTGTTATTAATACTACTACAAGACAGCATTCCTTCAAGTCCCAAAGGCAGAGGAAACTTATGTTTTAAAGCAACTTTAGGTAGGATTTCTTTTTCTTCTTTCATTTTATTTATGTGTGATTTAAATTAAACATGGTTTGGTACGGTTGTTATATTACTGGCAGACATTTTGCAGTGATGGTACGTTTTCAAAATATGTATTCTTTATAACAAAAATGGCCACAAAGCTAGCTCTAATGTTCCTGGTTCATTATGCTTATCTATTTCAACTGATGTATAAATCCTCAACTAAACAATTAAAGGAGTGGACAATGTGAGGAGAGTTTGCATTAAAAACCAACAACTATCAACAGCAAAAGTAAATTCTTACCAAAAATCCCAGGAAACTGATTGCGTTCTTCCTCTGGGGAGCTATTGTTCATAAGGTCAGGATGCTCCTCATCTGGAACAACTGACAGTAAGTTTGCTAAATGAAAAATGAAAGGAAAATAATGAGGAAAATCACACACAGGAAAAGGCATTAAAGTTTAAGTATCATTAAAGCAAAAAAATATATATTTTTTTTCAACAAAACATTTTCTTTTTAAACTGTAGCAGTATAGCAATGGCTCCTCATCCTCCTGGAGGCTGTGGGTGAGGGAATGTATCCATCCCATGAATTACAACCCAGTACCCTGAGAAGCAGAGAGGAGTTAGGAAAGGTTACTGTATTCTGATACACAACAATTCACAGGAACAAGAAGGACAGCGAAGCAGAAGAATGATCTGGGTCAAAGTTGCTGTTTCATAGCCCAAGCTGCACAGTTGAATCATTCAGAACTGACAGCCAGGTTTGCTGTTGTTCTTTGGTGGGAAGGTAGCAACCCATGGTAGGGTAACTAAAAAATCTTTTCCTCACAAGGTCTCTTTGAAAGGAGTATATTCAGATGTATGGGTTCAAATATATACATGCAAATATTTTATGGCATTATAAGGCCAAGCAGCTAGCATATCTTAGATTATAAAAAAAAAAAAAAGGAAAAAAAAAAAAAAAAAGGCCTTCTGTGGATGCAACTGGAGCAGATCCACTTCTCCATTCTGTCTTTCTCTGTCTTTATAATCTCTATTACCACAATGACTTTGTCTTCAGTGTAGGTATCAATATTTTCACAACATATTTTCCTAGATGACTGCTCTAGAAAGCATTTTTGTAACATCAGTCCCCTAATAGCAAGTACAGTGGAGAAATGAGATGCTCTAATGACAAGGTACAAGAGGAAGCAGTACTCATTGTGGACCAAATCACTTCCTTAGTAGAAACTGATGTTACTTCAATTACTTCATCTGTCTGCATTGGTTTACTTAGATATATTAAATAGTATGAAGATTTATGAAACTGAATGGAGTTCCCTCTTACACAATAGGTTTAATACACACTTTTGCAGGGATTTATAGAATTACAATATATGAGGGTAATCAACTACCATGAGAAAAATAAAAAAGGTAGGAGATTCCTGGAATATTCATTAAAATTAATTGTATATACCATTTTTAATAGAATTTTCCTTTTGATTTTACATTTCTCATTTTTGTATGTGTTTTTAAAAATACATAACTGTGTGAATTTCAGGTGTAATTTATTGCCATTTCAGAGCCTCCTAAGCCGTGGTTTTTTTCCCATGATAAACACCTTCAAAACACAATGCTGTTTATACAAGAATAAAACTAAGAATAACGAAGACAACAACTTACAGTTGCCTTGGCAGGTAGTCTGGCATTCTTCCAAACTCCTAAAGTTGTTCTGGTTTCCAAGGCACCCACCATACTTGAATATTTCACATATTTTTGTCTCTTTGTTATAGAAATACCTGGAAAAAAAGCCTCGGCAGATTCCAGGGTCTTTCTCTTGATAACAGAAGTTGGGCTTTTCTGTGAATCAAGGTAAATGATGAACAGGGTGAGGGAAGAAAAAAAAACAAAATACACCAGATGGTAAGACAACAATAGAGTTGGAGGAAGCTGACATAATAAACTTAAGTCACTTTAGAATAGAGATCATCTGTAAAATAAATGCAATTCTAATGTACTGCTTTTGTTCTCTCTATATAACACTGCAACACTGTGCTAGAATATTATAGGACATATTCATTGCTTTTCTTTTTTTCAAATAACCAGTAAATTATACCTTGGATAATGAGTATTGTTGAGTATTGTTTAAGTGTTCTCCTAAAAGGAAGCTCTAAGATTAAAATTAAGTTTTATTCTAATTTAAAACCAGATCATTTGAACCTAAGTACATATTCTTTCCACTTATGTAGTTGCTTTAATCAATGTTGGTGTGAATTACACAGAAGGCAATCTTAAAATAAAAGGAAAAAGGAAATAGTAGTTTAAAAAAAAATAAATACATTTTGTCTGGAATTGCCTATTCCTTTAAAAGGTTGTAAGAAACCAGGAGGCAAAGCAACTACTCCAAGTACCATTTTTTAGTCTCAGCTCCTAATCTGCAATGGCTAATTATAATATCACGAAAAATTCAATAAAAGAGTACTGCATAATATGACTAAATAATCAGACATGATACCAAGCACTCTGGCAGCAAAGAAAAAAAAAGTTGTACAATAACCCTCAAATGCTGATTTCTCAATGCATTCCATTTTATTTCTAGATATCCTCTTAAAATCACCACAGAAGTAATAAAACCCATCTGGAGGTATTCTCAAATTCTTGCTGGTAGATACTTTGAAATACGATGCTCGACTTACCTCACTTGCTGAGAAAAGTATCTTTAGTCAACTTATGAAATAATCGTGTCAGGTGTGACATGAACCACCGTACACATGAAACTTAACAGAAAAGTGAGGCTAAAACAATGTGCAGAAGACTACCATTTTAATAAAAACATTCTTAGAACAATTAATTTGAAGTCCCTAACATTTTTTGAATAGATAAAAGAGTTGTAATTAAGTTCATCCTAACGCCTTTATTTTTAACTAAGTATCTATTAAAAATATTTAATTTTTGTTACAGAGTGATTTTATCTATTTTTGCTAATGGCAGAGCAAGTATTCAGGTTATTCTCAGAACACACAAGAAAAGGTTCCACATCATATTTGAATTTTTTCTCCCTTCTCTTATTACTGAAGAAAACAAGCTTATTTTAAGAAGAGAGTGACCAGTGTCTGTAGCTGTCCTCCAAATCTTTGATGAAAATGAGCAAAGATTAGATAGCTCACCTTAGTATAAACAATGCTGTTCTGCTTAGGAGACAGCTTGGAACAATACATAATCTACCCAAAGCAGCTAAATACCTTATTGTGTTTTTTCTAAGACTTATGTAAACATAATTACCTCTCTTAATTTTTGCTAGCATCACCTCCAGAGGCAATTCTGCAATATAAATAAAAAGAAAAATATTTAATAAAAACAATCATGTAAAGTCTCACCTGTAAAACCAAAATGCTTCACAGTGACTATGAGCACTGCAGATAAGAATATAATACATGTTCCCTTTCTTTATTCTCTTTATTATGGAAGTAGCACAAAATCTTGGTACAAAGGACTGAACTACTGTTTTCTCACGTGGGAAGAACTGATATACTTGAAACTAGAGGATATGGAAAATAGTGGAGTTGTGCCCATATTGAATTGAACTGGCAAATTCCTCATGTTACTGGAGTCAGAATCCTGAATTATATGACCTTATTCCTCAAGAGACGTTTAATCAGCAGGTTGCTTAGCCCAACGTTGGTAGCTATTGATACTGCCAGCAGCTTCAGAGAAGATCTAGTTAACAACCTCTCACATGGTAGTTCCTTTTGCTATGCCACATACAGTCAGAGTTAAGTGTTCGTTGTGTTGTTTATGATATTAAAGCACAAGGTTGAAAACAATTCTTTCTGGAAAAACTTGAATTGCTGTTATGCTCCTCCTTGTTATGGAAGCAGTAACATAAGATACTTCTGCAATCCTCATCCTTACACTTTGTGTAATTTTTAATTTTCATAAAACAAACAAAAAATTTCCAGAAACATCATCTGCATTAAATTTTCAAAACAAATCTTTTGGGTAGAAATTCTATATATTATATAATAAAACTACATTTTCCTTGAATGCTACTAAAATATCACCATTAAATTCTGATGGGGGTACGTTTTCTACATACATAAACATACAGAATAAATAATATTAATTCCTACTGAAAAATCAGCCCAATCTGGATTAAGTAGAGGAGGGACATCGGTTTCTCTAGCCAGAAACCTTCAATTGAATGATGATAAGGAAATGTTAAAGGTATGTGTTTTAGATTCAGTTTGGTGGATGCTTCAGCCTGCTTGGGAGGCAAGACCAACTCCTGTCTTCTAAACCTCAAGAACTAAATCTCTGCTTTCCCCAGTTAGAAGTGGCATATTCTGATTGAAGAAAACAACCAAAATACAGACATGGCAGAATTAGTGTATAGGCTGTAATAAATGAAATCTTGAAACCTACTACTGACTATAAGCTGTGCTCTAGACAGCACAGGGACATTTGCTCTTAAATATTGCAGGGCTCAGTTTCTGAACAGCATCAACAGCTAGAATTTTAGACAGTCAGATCTGCAGAAATAAGAAGAAAAAGGAGCAAATGTCATTTTTGCATTAATTTTGTATACTAATCTGCAATTCTAGAAATATCTGAGATTTTAACAAGAAAATAAATCGAATCAGTGATATGAAGGCTCTTTGATTTCTGTACCAGTTCAGTTCAGCACTGAGGTTTGTGCTCTATTCAACCATACTATTTTGGCTCAATCTTTACAGGTAAGAAAGAAAACCTGCTTCCTTTTCTCTGTAAAACCTTCACAATGCTGAAGGCCTTAAATAATTATTACCATCATTTCTAACTGCAAAAACAGCAATTACAGTTGTATATTTTGTTTATCATTTTCCTCTTTCTAATGATTAATTCAATTCCAACAAAACAGATCTTTTAAGTCCAACAGCTGTATCTGACATTTTAAAAGAATTATTATTGCAGTTCCAATTTTGCTGAATCATAGCAGATGTTCAAGATTTTTTACGGCTCTATCAGCTTCTAAAGAAGCAGAAATGTAGAACGAGAAATTGGGTGTGACATTTTCAAAGCAATTAATGTGCTAACCACCAGTTTAACCCAGTGTCAAAATCAGTTTCATTTTAACAACTTATTCAAAACATGACCCTAGACAGAAAATAAGCTTTCTTGCACTGCTCTCTATTTCACAGATCAGCTAGAAAATCACAATTTATCTTTCCAAATCCAGAATGTTTGCTCGCAGAATCTAAAATAATTCAGATGACTGGAACACAGTATAATAATTGGGAACATCAGAATTAGAAACATCCCATCACCATATTAACCAGAACTTTACAAACTGCATAAGGTTTGTGGATAACAGCTAGAAGAACCTATAGAAGAAGAAGAAGAGAATGGGTACTGGCCTGTTACCACACATTTGTTCTGACATTCTTCCAAAGTTAGAAAGTTGTTTGCATTGCCGTGGCATCCACCATATTCAAATATTTCACACTCACGGCTTTGAATGTTGAAGTAAAAGCGCACGTGGATTGCTTTGCAAGGACCTTCATCTGCTTTCAGGGCACAGTCTGAATGCCCCAGTTTCAGTGGTGGTAAAGGAACACCTGTGATAAAGAGAAAAAGGACAACTGTTATGGACTCGGATTGCTTCACTGTAGAATTTAAGTTCAAAATCAGATTGCTTGCCTGTTCTGCTAGAAAAACACTTGCTAATATACATGTGTAAAGCTCTGAACAAATTAAACAGAGATGTAAAAAGAAGGTCATCATCTCCTTTGGAAGAACAGTTCCATTCAATCAAATAGAAAAATGGTTACAGTTATCAACCAAAAGAGCTCATGTTCTAAACTTTCAGTCCTTATCAGAACTCTCTAGAACAGCTACAGATAGTGATTTATTCACAGGAGCTCGCAAAAAATTCTGAACAACAAATACATTGAGAAAATTCTGGCAGCTCCCAAAGACACACTGACTATCCTTGCATAAATGAAAGGCAGAAAGAGCGTCTGCTGTGCTCTCTCCCTCCCATGCATATCTAATAGCAAACACTGCTCATGGAAAATTCTCATAAACAGTGTGGCAAGACAACCCTGCAGAGGGCACCATTCCCCTTCCAGATTGAACGTTACTGGCACATAAACCCATCTGGTATAACCAAAAGGTTATCATATCGTCTGAATTTCTTTGATCTTGCTGTTCTTGCATTAGATCTTTCAAGTATTAAAAAAAAAAACAAAAACAAAAAAAAACCAATTTTTCCTGCTTTGCGTAAACAAAAGGAAGCATTTTTACCCTAGAGGATTCTGAAAGCTTTGTAGAGCTTATATATTTGCAATAGCAACAAGAACAGAATTGAAATCTTTCCCTCACTCTGCCAGAGCTGATCAGAACAGTAATGTGTCTTAATGTGCATGTGCAAAAGTAGCACTATACACAATTGCTCAGAAAGGAGGGGAAAACAGTGATGGCAAGTTTTACAGGAACATTACAGCGCTTCCTCTTGCTAACAAGAGTAAGTCTCCACTTTTAACTAAAAGAATCCACAGAAATAAACATTATTAGCTACCCCACTCTGTGGCTATTTAGATTTAATGCCTAAAATTGTCCTTATTATGAAATCTTTAAATGAAATGCACAGCTGAGATAAAATGTAGCAGATAGTTTATCTTCTATTTTTAAAACTGACAATTGACAGACTGATGTCTAATTTCAAAATAATCAGTCCCTAAAATAAGCTACTTCCTTATTAGTGAAATTATATTTACAGATTCCAAAGTCAGGAAGACAAATTTAAAAATATTATTGAAGATTTTCTAATACAAAATGTGGATGCATTAAATGAATTAAAGAGACAGGAGTTTCATTAAAATTCCTATGGAGTTCAGCTTACCAAACAGATTTCTGAATTTTGCTTATTTTCTTATCTAGATCATCCTGAAGAATCAAGATTTACATGTCACAAGTGATTCCAAAGATCTAAAGTTCTCCAACATAGAGAGTCCTTTTGGAAGGGACTTGAAAATGCTCAGATATAAAAGTTGATACATTGAAAATGAAACTTCAGAATCCCCTTAATCAATAAAAGGGTGAAAAATGCCTCCAGAACATGAGAAGTGTAAGTAACATTTGGATTAATTTCTAAAAGGCTAACATCAAACAATTAGAGCTGCACAGAAACCAATCCAACTCAAATGGGGACAGATATGGCTTGGCAGCTGGTTTATAAACGTTATTTTCTTGGCACACAAGCAATAATACCTCATAAATGACCTATGCCAGAGACTCAGTCCATTCTAGAAGACATGGTGAAAACTTATGACTAGAATTGCAGACATGGGGTTATGTTAGATCATTTTGCTTGCTACATTTTGCCCCTCCAATGTTCTGGGCTATCAAAACAGAAATAATGTGCAAGCATAGTTGCAAAATTATACAAAGATGATGAACAGATGGCTTGGTACAGTTTATCTTAGGAACTTTCTGGACTCCAAGCTTAGTTCCCACCAAAACCACAAAACTAAATTATTGTTTTGCTTACTTTCTCAGGCTTTCCCTCTGCAGTCACTGACGCTGTTACCACTGTCAGATATACTGACACCTGCTGCAAACGTAACGACTATTTCTATAGCACTTTTTGCAACTAATGAATCAGCAAAGGCATTTATTTTGTTAGGAGTGCTAGAAAGTTAGCCATACTTTAACTAAAATAAGTACCCCGTGATGCCCCAGAAGGCCATGCCCTCTCCACCTGAACAATAACCAAGTGACTCTATGGAAAGAAGTCTCAAAAAGATTTATGAAAACTGAATCAATCCTGAGTCTGGGAACAGGGCCAGAGTTTTTCCCCACTACTTTACACCTAGGAACACTTAACTCACCATGAATGACATAAAAGTAGGTTTCTTTCTCAGAAAGAAACAACAGAAGAGAAGGCAAACATGAGTATTTGGCCATCAATTCACATAGATACAAATGTGCCTGCACATATTTCACATGCACAAAATACGGAGGTTGGTCTGAAACTAATGCCTCCTATTTATTTCCACGGAAAATACAACAGATACAAAGAGCACAACAGCAGTTGATAGAGCAAATTCTCAGCTAAAAACAACATTTGTCAACATAGTCTCCATCATTAGTTATGCATTTTCACCAGCAATGAAGAAAAGTCTGCATGCCATGCTCTTGAAATCTGTACCTACAGAGGTGACCACTGTCATTGTTGGAACTACTGAAATGCATTACCCACTACACCTCACTGTGCTCATATCCAGTGCTTGGTCTCCATAAACATTCAGCAAGAGTCCATCCATGTCAATGGGTGCCACTTTTTCCACACGGAGGAATTCAATGAAACACAAACATCAGAAGCTGCCTTGCCAGACTGCCCTTGTGCTGTCACCAATTGCGTGGCAACAAAATGTAATAGAATACTGGTAGGCCCTCAAACAACAAAGGCATTTCTGTACGTCAAGGTTAAAGAGAAAGAAATTCCTTTTGTAAGAATTCATCTGACTACATTAGCATGCTAAGTATAGCACTAATGTGGAATGGGTTATAATTTAAAATGTGGTGACTAATATCAACATGGTATTAAAGCACTCCCTTCATTTGCAGCAGCTTCATGATTGTGCATAATTAATAGTTTCTATCCCAAGAATTACTGCTATAAAAGACTTAAAGAAAGAAACAACCCGGATGGAAATTTGACAAGAGGTGTGCAGCTAATCTGCCAACAACAATAACAAAAGGTTTCCCTTAGCTGTATTCTTTGTTAGTCTTCAAAATTAGACCTGTCAAATGAGAGAGGTATTCACCACATCATTCTCTGCAGCATAAGAAAGAAGTCAACACTTTCTAAAAGTAAAAGAAGCATTTTAATACTGCCCAAAAAGCGTATTTCTTTCTCATCTGCTTTCTCAAAATTGTTTGTGATAAAACTAAAATATATTTTACATTGATACCCAGTATAGAAGTGTAAACCATATCAATGAAGTGAAAGTACAGTGAATAACAACCTTGTAATGGTAAGAGAATCCAAGAACCTCCCTCATTCTAAGTCACACTTCTGACATTATTTTTCTTGACACCAAGTACTAACTGGTGAGTTTTTGTTTATCCATCTGTAATAGATCAGTTGGAATTATACAGAGAACTTACGTGAGGCCAAGGAAAACAAACAGAGCAATCCAGAATTGTATTATCTTTAGAACAAACTTTGCAGATTAACTGTGACTGAAGAGAGCTGCACACAGGAGAGAGCAATATAGACCTACAGTGCTGTTCATCATATTTCTATCTCCTCGCATAGGAAGCTAAATCTGAGTTATACCTGCACATTCCTTTCCACCAACACTGAAGTTTCCCAGGGATCCTAAAGCAGAGCTAAAGGGGGAGTAATTTTGATATACCAGGTTTGATTAGCATTAGATGTTTCAAAAAGCAAGAGAAACAAAAGCCCTTACAGTTGGCTAACAATTTTGCTAGAACTTAATGCAAAATCCAAGCTGCTCCCAACTATTTAGAGGCAAGTTTGTGTTTACCACTGTTTTACACTTAGCTCAACTTTCAAGTTTCCTTGAAAATTTACATCTACAGTGCATTTTATCATGGTGTTCTTTTTTTGTTTTATTGTTTTTTTTTTTTTTAATTTGAGATAGTTTTCTGTAAAGTCTTACCCAGAACATCCTCTTCTTCCCCATCCTCAGAGTCATCAGCTGCATGCCCAGCGATACAGACAAACAGCAGGATAAAGGTTAAAGGTAAGAAACATCCCCTCTTTCTTCCTTTCATCTTCCTGAATAAAAAAACAACAACGTAAACTTGAATCAAGTTCCTTGACAATTCTGTCTAAGTTATTAGCAAGGTAGTACATAGCTTTCAGGCATATATGCAAACTATGAGCTTCCAAAAGAATATAAGATACGCTAGCATAGCGTTGTAAGCGCAGTGAGGAATAGGACAAGACTTTGTGTTTGTATTCAGCTGATCCCATCTCCAGTATAGACTAGATGCATTGCTATTATTTTTAATTTAAGCAACAATTTTAAACAATTTTCCAGAATCCGTAATTAAAACATAGCACTTTTTAATATAAAGTAGTTTTTAATGTCAACTGCACAAGCACGGTTGACTGACATTTCTAATTCTTCCAAATAAATTTTACTCTACCTGAAGACCTAGGATTCATTTTCAAGCATAGGATTGTGGTTTTTTTTTTTAAACAAGTATCTCATCGTTTTATAGATATCAGGTTCCTTGAAATTGCAATTCACAGCAGTAAACTTTCTGCAACATGGACTTTAATTTTTAAGCAGTATTTTGTATCTTGCAGACCCTTTTAATATTGAATCCTTTAATTAATAAGTGTACTGCTATTCTTTTCTATGTAAGAACAGTATAGCTGTAGTCATTCACACAAAGGAAACATCTTTATTTCATAGCTATTGGCAAGTTCAAGTTGTGAAAGGTCAAGCTGTACACACATATACGAAAGCACCTCAGGAAAACCTTCGCTTTAAATTTTTAGAAATGAATTTTTAGAAAGAATTTTTCAGAATTTCCAAACTAATTAAAAGTTCATTAGGGAACCCTCAAATCTAATTAGGGAATAGACTCAACATCTCCTTCCCTATAGATACCTTTTTCTCTTTAAGTATAATACTAAACTTTGGCTAAGTTGTTTAATATCAGCTTCACAGAAATCTTAATAAGTAGGAAGCTCCTTGCCTACAGGCACTATTTTGTCTTCAGTGTTTTCGTATTCGCGTCTATGAAAACAGCTGATACGAACATGCTAAAACAACGAGGGCAAGAGGGTCTGTGAGGAGAGAAGAGCTTGTGACTGATGTTTGCATATAGCTTTGTATTAAGAGAGCTGAAGAGATGCTACAGCTACAGCAGGTAGCAAATAGGAGCCATCTTTAAGAGATTAAACTTTTCTGACTGGTGTATCTTCGGCTAAGAAGTTATAAGTAAAACATCACAATAGTATTTAAGAAAACACAAGCAAGGATGTCTCAGAAGGGTGAAATACACACAGGAAAACCCCCCACCAATTTGTAACAGCAGCTCAGAATACGTGCCAGAACCAGAAATTGCTCTTGTATTTCAACATCAAATCAGAGACAGAATTTTCTCCCTCTACAACTGGTGAACATTTTTCCCCTACCTATTGCCCCTCACTGATCACCTTTGAAAACAATGCACTATTAGAGGAAAAAAAGAGTCTTTACTGAAATGCCAATTTCAGTATTATCATTTTAGTTTAGGTCTTTATTCCTTCTTCTAGGAATTTACACAGTACAGATTTCAGATTGCAAAATTTAGTAAATCCATTTTTATCGTCACCAAATATTCCCCCAAGTCTGTTTCAAAGTAGAAGAAAAATGTAAGACAATCACCCCAAAGTGAAAATTCTAAATAAATTTCTTCTCCATCTGGAGAAAAATCTTCAAAACAGAATTATGTACATCATGAGCTACCATAACCAATAGTCATCATGTGATTCTGAAGATAAAGTAGTGCATTACTATAGAGAAGAAAAATCTTTTAAATTATGGTAATTCCATTATTGCATTTAACTCCTATTTTTCCCTGAAAAGTGGATCACATCAGAAATAAGACTCGTTGATGCTTTAGTCTAAATTCTTCATTTTGAGAAATTGCTATCTAACCCAATATATATTTTATTGCAAAGTCTACTGGCAAGGCAAGAATTGTCTCTCTTCTGGCTAACTTTCCCCCAGGGTCATACACTCCCAAGAGCACTACGTCATGCGTAGGTAGAAATTGGATGAAGAAGGTACACGTTTTAGTAGTGAAATGATTAAATCCCTAACCCCTTTAACTCCTTAAGGAACAGTAAAATCCAGGATCAAAATCAATTTGGCAGCGCTTTTTAAACTAAACAATCCCAGCCCTCTAGAAGAGCCTAAGTTTTCCGACTGCATATTCAGTTGCCCAGTAACAGAGTTTTAGAGCTGCAAGCATGACACTGATTTTTTAATTCTTATTATTTTATCATGCATTTTTAATTCATTCTATTTCTCATTGCGTTAATATGGGAAACACAATTCAAAATACTTGATTTATGTCATTCGGCTCAGTAAAATATCAAAGAACTTGAGTGAAGGATTCCACAGCATGGGAATGCTAGGAAATGTTTTGAATACACAGTAATTCATGTTAATTGGTCTGAATATTGAGACCAGAACGTGAAAAATTTGGGGAGTACAAATAGCTCCTTACTCCAGCAAGGTTCTAATCTAGAACAGCCAGAGGTCATTTCAACATTAATACTGGCTTTTCTATACATCAAAATGTCGGTAAGGCAAATTTGCATGAATTCTTAAGAATGGTTCCTTAGTAACTGGCAGGCTGCTGCTCACAAACTAACCAGCTTTTAGAGATGTTTTGGTATCTGAAAACAGACAACATCCAAGTTGCCTGATAGCAGAATTAACACTGTGACTTAGCTACTGATATAATTAAACTCTTTCATTTGTGAGTAAAGCCACCCACTTCTCTCAAGCTACAGAAAGCAGACCACAAACAATAAAGGAAATTCCGTGATGAAGATCTTTATTATTTGGTCTCATATAACCAGGACTTTTTTACCCTTCTACCTAAATGCAAAAAAATAACAAAAAATTATCTGTTTTTAGCAGAAAAGGCCAGAGAAGTAGAAAACTTGCTGCACTCTCTGAGCCCTTTTTAATGTACGGTTATTTAGCAGAATGTTCTGCACAATTTCTATAGTTACCAGAATGTTTAGAAACAGCTGTTTTTTCAGCATGGTTTTTATCTCTAACCAGTTAATGGGAAAAAGCAAAACAAAAGCTAGCATTTCCGTAGTAGCCAGAAACAGTTTCAGAAAATGCCATGAAGTGACATTGTAATGACTGTAAAAGTGACTCAATCACACTGACAGCACAGGAAATGGTAGGGAGAGAAAAAAAAAAAAAAGGAAAAAGACAAAGAATACAGTACATGGAAGAACAAATAGCAGGAGATAGGCTATGTGTAGTCGAAAGTTAAATTTAGCACAGCCTGAAATTAAAGATAAGGAAGTCTAATTAGCACCTCTGTTATAAAAACAGACTTTTATTAGCTCACCATAGTTCTCAGACGTTATATTTGCCCTACAGTACCTTGTACCACCCTTCCAGAAGGCGTATGACAGATGATTAATTGAACATACCTGTAGCATTGTTTCTCAGCCTGTTTAGTCAGTGAGTTGCCTGAAAGCATTTTTACTGCATGTGCTGTTTTATAGCTATTTGAATTATCACGTTTATTTACTGTCTATCACACCATTTCTCAATTCTAACAAAATTGAGTCCCTTTACATTGAAAGGCAAGTCACAGGCTATGCAAAACTTTGAGATGTTGAGATGTATCTTTGAGATGCATCTGCATCCTAGTCCTGAAAACACCAGCTTAGCTCAAGAAACACGTCAGTTTCACTAACCAACATTTACGTCTCTGTTTGGTAAGATGTATCCCACCATGATGCATCGTTAGTACTTTTATTCTCTTGAGTGTCACTATCTTGGGGGTAGTTACTAAAGGTCTGAGTTTTCTTTAGAACAAAGACACATTACACTCAGCAAGAATGCAAGAGCTAAGCCAACTTCCCAGCCTTACCAAACTAGACTTCTGCTAAGATTTATTTCCAGAGTCACATGTTGATTTGACGACATAAAACAGAATGGTTTAAAAAGTAAAACAAAGCATTAGTAGTAAGAGGGATTGTTTCCCTTCCACCACTCTGGCAGTACTGTCTTGACAAAGATTTTTCTTTGTGCAAAATTATCCTGAAGCAATATCCAGTTTCCCTTTAGGTACTGCTTTGTGTGTGAAAAAGATTGAGAAAGCACCATGACAATTGTACACTAGCACATCGATCCACCTTTGTCAAGATCTTCTCATCACAGAATATCTTCTCTGACTAGAAGAGATGTTAATGCAACTAGTTTCTGCACTTAGTTTTTACATTCCACCTGCCTGTTTCCTTTCTTTCATACTTGCAGAAGAGAAGCCCCAATGCATATTAATTGAATTTCTATTTCCACCACATAGAGGACTAATGATGCAAATCAAGGTACCATATTAGCATGTCAGTTATTCCTTTATATGTGACAAGTGCATCTATGTAACGTTATATTCCAATCTGAGGTAAATCTCTACTCCTCACATCCATCCCTGTTTTCATTGTGACATATCTTTCAACAGTGAAAGGAAATTTTAATCTGCTCCTACCAAATGATTTTTAACCACGTAGCAAATCAAATCACTAATGTACACTATTTCACAAATCTAAAAACAACCAAAAGCCTACCACAACCACATAGTCGATCCTGCGCTTTGAAAACAATACATCCAAATCAGTCCTGTTACATTTCATGCGAAATACAGCCCATAAGCACTTTGTATTAAACAGATTTAGAAAACTAAGCAGTGAAGGTGTATACAGGATTCATGTAATGGTGCCAAGTCTTAAGTTTCATACAAAAAGTAGCTGATAGTAGAAAAAATACTGATTTCATTTTCAAACAGGGAACATCTTCAGCATCCTAACAGTAATTACCCTCACATCACAAAAGCAAACAGAATAGACAAGCAGTAAAATTAGTTAGGCTTTAGCAACCAGCACCGCAGCTCAAACAACAAACATCAACATTGCAAAGCTTCTAACCTGTCCTTTTAGCTCTTCTCTAATGGATTGAATCATTGCAGTGCTATATAGGTGTCAGGTGTGTACATTCTGAAGTTGTACACACTACAGAAGCATAG